TGTGGCAATATTGGATGTCCCCATCCGTTTTTTCACTTTTTTTTTTTTCCTTTTTACCTTTTGTCTATAAGAACCCCGCGGGTGAGGGGCAACATTCCTCACCGCCAACTCATCCCACCAACAATGTCATGTCATGCATGGAAAATCCTTTCTTTTCCCTTTTGGTTTTTGCCTCCTGAGACTTAAATTCATATTTAGAACATTCTAAGGTTAGGTAGAAATCAATGTCGGGCTCTGCATCTGTACTAGATCAATTGTATTTATAGTTACATAGATAAACAACTCCAAAAGTCAAAGCCATGGTCAATATGATATGAGATAAAAGTGCATGCAAAAGCTAGACCCATGTCCCACCCGAAAAGTTTCCGCTGATGGCAAAAAAAAAACCCTGTGCGCTGGACTGTGACGTCGATCAATTTGGGTATCGTTGTATCAACTTGATAGTTTTGAGTTGCATTCCCTGAACACTTGGTAAATGCGCCTTTGCACCTCGCTGTTATAAAAACTCAAAATGAAAGCCAAAAAAAATAAAACGCAGGTGACTTTTTCCCAGCCTTGCCACCCAACTCTAATTTTCTCTCCACCGAGCACCGCATGAGGTACACTGGAGCTGTCAGAGACGGGTACCTCACTTTGGACGTAAGGAGAGAGACATACCTTTAAGAACGTAGTCATCGGTTCATCTGCACTGCGAATCTGCAGCTGGAAGAAGTATGCACGTTCCCCATGGCAGCTTTCGGCAGGGCATTGAGCTGTCAGGGAAAAGAAGAGAGCGTCAGTCCTGTATGTCTCGACGGACATGTCACTTCTGAGAGAAAAAAGCAGAAAGAACTTACTGCCAACACTGTCGGCATTGGCAAACTCTTCCTTGCCACCAAAGACATCGTCTACTTCCTTTTGTTTCATGTCTTTCTTCTCGAAATAGTTCTTATCCAGCGGGGCTTCATAGGGGCAGACACGGCATTCAAAGCGGTTCACACCTGCGGGGAATCTTGTGCTCGAGTCCGCTTTGGAAATAGTGAGCGCATTGCTGCAATTGGGACAGACTAGAGAGAGGAGTCAGTTTCTGTTCTGGAATGTCGCTGAACAGTATCAACTTGGAGACAGCACATACAGACTAGCATCTTGATGTGGTTAGAGGATGCAGTGGATAAGGCCAAGAAATTTTCAGGAAGCTAGACTAGGAGGAAGTTAGGCTCTCAGCAGCTGTACAGTGTAGTCCCCGTCAGATGTAGAACATCACCGCCGATGATGAGAGGTCTAGGCGCGCGGCTAAATCCAAGCGGGATTGGAAAATCATATATCCGGGCGACCCGCGTGTGAGATGTCCCTGGGGAACAACTCCGATAGCCAGTAGTACCTGCCAGCAACTTGAATGTCTGTTTAACCCACAGTCCAGCTTGTACATACGTATCCTACTTCGTTTCCCTGTGGACGATCCATTTCTGATCAGCAAAATATCCATACAAAACGCCTGACTCGTGCTGCAACTAGCTCCACGCCTCCTATAACAGTCGAACACTAGTTCCTGGACTACGGAATTCACTCTCGGTAAACCCGGACCCTGGAAACCAGATACAAACATGGCTGATGAGGTGAACGCTGCTCACCAGACCCTTGACTAATACCAATGCTAATTGTGCTGCGATTCAGGGCGCATCACCCCGTGAGCTGGTCGTGGAGGCCTGCCGCCGGGATCAACCCCACCTAATTGAGCAAGTGGTGAATGAAATGGAAGGCAAGAGAAATGAGCAAGTGGCACAATTCTTCAATGAAGTGACAGACTCTATGGGAAACCACGCATTGCACATCTGTGCCCAGTACGGCAGTTGTACGTGTTTACTTTGTCACTTCTTGAATACCTGTCTCTCATGGAAACTAACTTCAATCTTGGTTAGATGATACCATGGACGCACTGTTTGACATCCAGTTCTTCGAATGTGACCCGTTGACCCGGCTGGACAAGGACACGCCTTTGCACACCGCAGTGCGGTACGCCAACGATAAAGACGCAGAACTGGGTGAGGCCATGATCAAGATGATGTGTGAGGCTGGCTGTGATCCTCGAGTGCGGAATAAGCATGGTCAGAAACCTGCTGATCTGGTCTTCAACAACAACGAGATTAAGAAGACCCTTCAGCAAACCGAGTATATCATGGCTGAAGGTATTCAAAATACCAGCAATGGAGTGGACTCGGATGGTGGAGAGGCCAGCGATAGCGATTAAATGGGGAATTTGAAGGTGTTCACATTGCCATCTATTGTATTACAGGAATTGCCATCTTCTGGTAGAAGGCTTGAGTTGTCCTAGTTGAGATATCCGTTTTCATGCACAAGTTTTTAGGCTTGACCACCTTCTCTATTTCTATTTTACAATTTTTACGAGTTCAGTTCATTCTTTAAGAGCGGTAATCGTAGAATTGACTTCTTGCTTCAACCACTAAACTAGGCTATTCGTCTATTTCCAGGGGGGGGGGGGGTTCACAAAGCTAAACCTTTGACGCCTTGATAAGCTTTTGTACTTGATGTATCCACTTGCGGGAGAACTCCTCTTCGGTAAACCGTTGAGCTGAACGACGAGCCCGCTGTCGCATAGCCAATTTCTCTACCTCCGGAAGAGCAAGGGCAGCTTCAAAAGAAGCAGCAAACTGCTCTTCTGTTTCAGCGCGGAATCCAGTTGCACCATCACCCAAATCAACGACAATATCTTCACGTGGACCGCCCGAGTCGTGTGTCACGCAGATGAGACCTGCTGCTTGGTACTCCACGACGCAAATACCGAAATGCTCGTTCCACATGGCATTGACACCAACTGAGGCAGTACGGAGATGTGACAGCATGACAGGCCAGCTGGCATCGCACAAAAAGGTGGTGTGGTCGCGGATGCGGAGTTCATGCGCCAGGAGGCGCAGGTTGTAGATGTGGGTTTCATCAGGGCTGGAATGACGTACAGATCCAATGAGTACAAGACGTGGAGAGGGTTGACCTTCATAGGCCGGGTTATTCGTTCGTTCTTGTAAGAATCGTGCAAATGAGCGCAATACTAGCGGGTGGTTCTTCTCTGGCCGGAATTGGGCGATGTAAAGTAGAACGGGCTGGCGAGTCTTTTCGCTCTCCACGTCAACGGCGATACTTGATTGCAGTTCGGTGACTGCTGTTGGGGGAAACACTACTGCCGGTGAAGATGCAGTCCCATCGCCGCAACTGTTGCTGCTTTTCTTGCCGGTGCCCCAGAGCTTGCGAATGTGCGCTGCTGTCCAGGACGAGTTGCACATAACTACATCGATCTGGCGACCAACCCAGCCATACAGCTTGGCAAATATCTCCCAGTACCGACGCTTGGCTTTTCCTTTCCACCCTTTCCCTGCGCCGGAATTGATCCCTTGCACCCCGCTTTTATCGTCAAGAGAGGCGAGCATGTCGGTTGATATGGTCGGGTAATGAACATAGGCGCCAACAGGCACAGTCGGGAAAAGCCATTTGCATAGAGCAAGCGTGAAGGCATAGCCCATGGTGTCAACAAAAACATCCGGGACAAGCAGTGTAAAGGCATCGTAGGCAACAACTAGTGACCCAAGTGACTGTCCCAGGAGCGTCATGTAAGGGTATGAGCTGCTGACAACATACTTTCGGGTCGTCAAGTATAGGAGCACCACAGTCGGCGCATGTAAGTGAATGTTGAACCGGTTCTCCACCCTCTCCAGCATTGTGGCTTTATTTACTTCATGGTCACCAGTATAGATAGCGCAGATTGCCTTCGGCCAGCGCTTCTGTGTTGCGCGTATTGCTTCCCACAAGACTCGTTCGCCACCTCCGCCGGCATTGCTGTAGCGTCTAGTCAGTATTGGGTGTTTCGATCTGTTGAGAGAACGCCATACCAGAATGGGTGGAAGAACCCAATAATCCCATCCCAGTCCTCTGGACATTGGTTGCTTTTCTCGCCAATAACACCACTGCTTTCACTACCAGCTGCAGTTTGTACCCCGCCTGCGCCTGAGCTATCCACCTTCTCCCAGTCCTCATCTTCGGCACCGTTCCGCGATAGTGAAGTTGTTGAACCCTTCGGCCGTGAGGCGCGTAACTCCTCCTCTTCAGATCGCGCCCGCGCGAACACATATTCACGGCGAGACCGTGTTCTTCGCCATATCAGCCAGCCCGCTCCTCGAAACACTAAACCGAATAGAACACCTGTTAGCTTCGGAAGCAGGACAGCCGTGGCGGTGAGGACCAGAAGGGCCAGAATGGCGTTTGATAAGAGGGCCATGGTGAAAAGGCAATTTTTAAAAAGACCTCATCAGAAATCACACATAGTAAGAGAATTTGAAGTCAAACTAGTGAATAAGTCAGAAAATGCTGCTCCTCTCTTGCTGTCAACAAGTTGATCTGTAGGGGTAACTCCATACGTGTCACATGATGATATCCAAATATCCGATTTCCGTGCCGCAACTTTTAGAGCCTCGGTTTTCCAGCCATCTTTTATTGTTTATCTCGTCCCCCGGTCAGCCATCATGTGTGCCTTTCACTCGGCCCAGGTCATGCAATTAACGCGGCGAATCGTACAACTGCCTCGCTCGCAAGTTCGGCACTTCCACCCAACAAGACCAGCCTCATTCGGCATCATCGACCTTGCGCTGGACAGCTCTACTGCATTTATTCACGGCGTCCACACTGTTTCAAGTCTACCATGGGCTGCCTCAATTCCTCTAACGGCTGTACTTGTTCGTACATTTGTTGGGTTGCCCATCCTGCTATACACTCGACTCCATCGCCATCGCGAAAGAAAAATATCGCCAATTCTAAGCGCTTGGATAAAGAGATATTCAGAAAAACAAGTGACCCAACGCAACATTGCGAGTATCAATAATTTAACACGTGCTGAATCAAAGAAAAAAGCCCTGGTTGATATAAGAAAACGAACAGTCCAGCTCCATAAGCGCTGGGGGGTATCCGGCAAGCACAAAGCAGTTGGCTTCCTACAGATACCTGTCTTCATTGCGCTCATGGAAAGTCTGCGCGGGATGAGCGGTAACAATAGCGGCCTCATTGCCTGGCTGTCATCATTCATCGAGTCGCCGCAAGACCCTACCTCCGCAGCCCAATCTCTGCATTTAACTATCGAGCCCACTCTTGCGAACGAGGGTGCTCTCTGGTTCCCGGACTTGCTGGCTGGTGATCCGACAGGTGTGCTGCCAATTTGTCTGACTGCGTCGATCTTGGGAAACGTTCTGATGGGATGGAAGGTCCGGCCTTGGAGGCAGATCCCGCTCCTTTCAAAGACCGAGATGTACAAGCAGATTTCTTTCACCGGGCTGCGGGCCTTTGTTATAGTTTTAACATGCTACATTGGCTTCGCAAGCTTTGTTCAAGGGATGCCAACTGCGCTTATGCTTTACTGGATTACCAGTACCAACGTTGCCACGCTGCAGACTTGGGTACTGGACAATAAGGTGTTTTCACCGGTGATGTTCGACCGCTTCATCGAGAAATCCATCGCTTTCGAGAAGCCGGGTGACAAGGACCCTTTCCAATTGAAAAACTTGCGCTGATTCCATCCATGAGAAACGCTTCAATTGGAGTGAATGGGTCCTTTTCTATGCCATGAGTCAATGGTATTTTCCCCAGCCATACTCCAATAATGAGTTGTGAATTATCCACGCACTGGCTCTAGATGAATCTCAGAGTTTCATCGGGATGGTGGCCACTTTCAAACAGAAAGCTCATGTCAGACCCGAGTCAACCCATGGCCTCTGGATGACTCGTACAGACTTATGAGCCGGGCTCGGATAGGATCAGACGTCACAGGAGAGCCTCTGGGGTTGTGCGTCAACGTTCGTAACCTGGTCCAACCCTCCTACAAATTGACAATCCAAGATGCACATAGCTCATCGAATGGCTTCGAGGTTCATTGTGTAACAAAATTTTCTTTGACTACCCGGGTTCATGTACGATCATCCTTTACCCTTCACAAGAATAGTTGGCCGCGTACACGGCCTCCATCCTTGACGACATGACTTTTAATAATCTGATATATGTGCCCAGGTGGCTCAGGATAATATCACAGATGTTTTATGCAAGACATCACTCCGATCTCCTTTTTTTGGCTTTTTTTTGGCAGTTTTAGAGGTTGCAAGATGGTGAATTAGTTATGAATTGGAATAATAGTACGAAGTAAACGTACCAGGCTTTTCACTCTGCTCTACAATGAGCAATATTCAAAAGAGGGAAAATGCATGACAAGCACAGACAATTGTTTTGTAAAACTAGGGACATTACAGACAAGTCGTATGATTTAAGAAAATATTCTCTGGTATTTTGTCTTGGCCTTGCCATAGTCCAGTAGCCACAACTCCATTGGAGAAAGTAGATTGCAAAAACATATTTAAAAAAAAAGCCCGCCAATCTTCAAAATGCTTTGGGAATGTCATGAACGACAAAAATCAATACGAACGCCTAGAGCTTCGACCTGGGAGCCTGTTCTGAGGCGCTTGCTTCCTGATTGACTTCCACAGTGCGTGAATCAGGGCCTTGACCAAAGAAAATGACCTCAACAGTAACATCGTCACTAAGAATAATTAGCCTAGCTGCTAAAAATCAAATGTCATGAAAAGGGGATTCATACCGGTATCGGCGAGAGTAAGGACTGGGTAGCGTCAACAACGCACACACCATATCCTTATCCTTCCCACCCATTGCGTTCCGCACAAGATGAGTTGCTGCATTCTTGTCCTCAATCACAAATCGAGTAGCCGCGCCAGAGATATCATATTGCTGCTGGCGGATAGGGCGCCGTTGGCCTTCGGTCGATCCGTCGGTTGCAGTTTCCACGGGCAATTTCTTCTGGCTATCAAACCCAAACCAACTCTGTAACCAAGCTTTACTACCTGTGCCTGCAGCAGTAGATTGTTGTTGCTCAAGCCAATGACCAACCAAGCCGACAACTTCTTCATTACTAAGCATTTCCCACAGACCATCGGTAGCCATGACAACAAAGTCACCCTTGGAAGGATCGATCTTGGTGGTAGTAATGATAGGCTCGGCGGTGACATAGGGGGGCGTTTTCAGCATGGGATGAGGCGTGCGCCCAAAGAACTTCGCTTTTATTGTATCTTGGACCTCTCGGCTCCACTTGTAGAAAGCATCACCGAACGCACGGCTGGGTTCAAGCTGGCCGAGGATTCGGCCATTCTTGGTCACATACGGCTCGCCGGGGTGCTCCTCCCGCAAACGCTTCATTTCAGATGGGGTGCCGCCAGTCTGGTCCTCGGAAAGAGCAGTAGCAGTCCATTTCCCGCTAGGACCACGACGGCCCAGAACTGCGCGAGAGTCTCCGGTAACAGCAACCTTGAGGTCCTTGGACTGGGAGTCATAGAAACTGAGAAGAGCACATGATCCCGAGAGAGCAGGAGCAAGAAGCTCGGCGGCAACGCGTCGTGATTTAGACTTCAGGACTTCCTTAAAGCTCTCATGTACGATGTCATTGTCGAGGCGGACGAAGCCCTTCTTTATAGCGGCATCGATCGCTTCGGATGTTGGCACGAGGAGAGATGGATCAGCGGAAGCAGCCTTGTAGGTTGTGTTTAGTTCACGGGCCACATATGAGATCAAAACATTGCGCAGTTTCGCAGATGTGGTCCAGCCCCTGGTTTCTAGTTAGCATTTGCAATTTAAGTACCCAACCTTGACATAACGCACGAGTGACCGTCAAAAACTCCCCAGAACATCCAGTCACTGCTCGGCTCGCCGTTGCTGACAGCAGCCACGGATGCCGGAATCTCCACTATCTTCTCCGCATGGTCATCCTCAATAGGGGAGTTGCTGGGAACCTGAACAACATCGTAACGCACAACGCCATTGCCCCGATTGACCAAATATGACTCCTCATTCTTACGAAGCTTCTGGGTCGCTTGCTCGGGAGTCAACATCTCTAGGACCTGGCGGTCTGAGTCGTCCGTATGCTTGGCTAGAGGCTGGTCTCCGGAGAGCGTCGCGGTGTAAAATTGATCACCGCTGACCAGCAATGCACGTCGCGTGGACTCAGCAGGCCCTTCTGCATAGGCGGTGTTGAGGGCACTCGATGCGAAACCGCGGATCTGGGTTGCTGCCGACTTAACGGTGTCACCCTGATAAGCGTACCATGCCCCGGAGGCAACAACGGTCGAGATAACGGCGAGGGAGAGGTTGCGGCGATGCATAGATGATTGAGGGGTTACCTGACTGTGGGATGAGCGTCTGCCACCAGAATATAACCGAAGACCTCGGAGCTGGTTAGAGGTCACAGAGCACGGCCGTTTAGCGGCAATGTTCCATGCTGGTGCATGCCGAGCAGTACGGCAGGCCTGAACAGTCGCCCGACGCATTATTCCAGCAGTGAATATAACAATTGATAAACTTCAGTGCCTATTTCAAGGCAGATTTAAGCTCAAGATTGTAAGTAGATGAAGTTTCAAGCTTGACAAGGAGCTGGGTCTCATCAAGACGACAGTCACGTGTACACGTTGTCCAAGGGAGCGCTAATCCGCATTAGTCTCTGTCGTCATTCCCCGCGGTTTTGTTTCAGCGCGTTCTGCTTGTGTTTCCACTTTCGCAGACAGCTTTGATTTCATAAGTTCAAATGCTTTTGCCTCAGAGGGCAAAATGTCTTCACGAGCAATCCGAAAATTGCAGAAGCTGCGTGAACAAGAACAGCAGCGAGAATCCGACCTGCAAGAGGAGTCAAGCGAAGATGAAGCCCCGCGCCCCGCGAAACCGAAATTCAATGCCTTTGATTTACTGAATGCCGAAAATGAGGACGAGGAGGAAGACGAAGAAGATATTGAGGAGGAACCTCGGGCGCCGACTCCAGAGCCTGAACCAACCCCAATAAAGCCCAAAAAAAGCAACAAGAAGAAAAAGAAGAAGGCAGCCAAAACCTCCGATCCCGCAACTACCCCGCCTTCAAAATCCAATGAAGCAGATCTGGATGAAATTGATCGGGCGTTGAAAGAGTTATCGACAAGTAGGCACTCCTCAGTTGGCACAGGTATATCTACCAGACACACTCTCGAGGTTTCTTTTCCAAAGACTACAAGCGAATTGCTCGGCATCGAACCCAAATTTCTCAATGCAACGAATGAGATGCGCAGACTGTTTGGAAATGTTGTTCTAGAAAACTTTGATCAACCAGCGGACAATGGAACGGGCCGCCGTCGGGATCGCAATCGGCAAATGGTTGACCTTGCTCAGGCGTTGACAGGAAGATACAGTCCGGCTAGTCGAGGTCAAAGTCTGGCTGGAGTCACATTGCGACGCAACGTTCTTATGCAGGGCAAAGATGAGTGGCCTCGTGCTCCAAGTGGAGGGCTGGGCATGGAGACTGTGGAGAAGCTTCCTTCCGGGGAGACTCTCTACCGACTAGTGCACAATACCGCCTACCAAGATGTACAACGGCAGTTCGACCTCTGTGTTGAATCGATGGACCCACAGAGACTCATCGGGCACCTCCAATATAACCCGTACCATATCTCTACACTTCTCCAGGTGTCGGAGATTGCCAAACACCAAGGCGACCATGCTGTGTCTGCCGATCTGATGGAAAGAGCTCTATTCAATATCGGACGCTCGGTGCACTCTTCGTTTGCCAATCGCCTCAAGGAAGGCGAGGCCAGACTTGATTTCATACATGCGGAAAACCGAGAGCTCTGGCTTGTTGGGTGGAGGTACATCACCAATCTAGCAATGAAGGGCACATGGAGAACCGCCTATGAATGGGCCAAGCTCTTGCTCAGTCTGGATAGCAGCGATCCTTATTGCATGAGACTGCTCATCGACCACCTCGCGCTCCGAGGTAGAGAATACGCACAATTCGTGCAGCTCTGCACCCAGACACGCTTTAGTTGCGACTGGGCCAACCTCCCCAATATTCAATGCTCTCTGGTAATTGCATACCTCCGGTTGAACAAGCCCCAAGAATGTCGCCGACAGTTGCAGCTCGCCATGTCCCATTACCCGTGGATGTTCAGTAGGCTAGCACAGGAACTTGATGTTCAGCACGTTCCGAAGCAAATATGGGGCAAGATGCCTCCTACAGGCGCTCATGAGCTACTTACCGAACTCTACATTGCCCGCGCAAAGGATCTTTGGAATACCCCCGAGGCTATCTCTCTCATTGTGGAAGTCGCAGATTCTATTTCTGGCGAGGAGCCTAATGATCCGCCAAAGATCACTTTGGACATCGCTCGTCATGTGGTCTTGTCCGACATAGCTAAAGTGACAACCCACCTTCCAAACCACTTTGTTGCTGGTCGACTGTCCTCCTCCGACCCTCTTCCCCCCTATGAATCTGAAGCCTACAGGCAACAGTCTGAGCCTGCACCGATTTATGCGGCTCCTACTGGGGGTGGCGAAAATTGGCTGCAGGATCTCCTCGGCCAGATCAACCACGACGCTCGCCCTCCTAATGTCCCATCCGACGACGAAGAGCCAGTTAGTTATGAGGATGAGAGCGAGGATACAGAACATTTCGATATCCCACACTCACGCCCACCACTCAGAGATCCGGCGGCCCTTG